TACAAATATGTAACCAAAAATGTACACATTTATACTGAAGCTTTAAACTCGATGTTGCAAATAAAGTTGTCTCCATCGTCTATAATATCGAGTCTTTTGCTCACTTTCTTCAGATGCTTCTGATTCATTTACCTAAATTCTACCATTTGTTTAAATGTTGCTAGGGAATCAATGAATTTCTCAAACGTTTGTTTTCATTTAGATCTTCTTGTTGTTGTTCATTGCTAAGACTGGTGGTGGTTGTGGTGTCTTTCTAGGGACATTATCATGTACATAGATAATTCAATCCAATGGTTAAACTATTAGTCTTTGGGTTAAGATAAGCGGTTGTTGGGTTTGTTCGATCAGGCAGGGTTATCATACTCAATACGTATTCTTGTTCTTTTCCATATATACACTTACGCAGACCTATTTTATACCTGGCTTGGCTGTTTGGTTGGTTTCATGCTTTACAACACAACAACGCAGTTAGGTTATTTAGTACGGATGCAATTGGAGTACAGTTTTTCCCCGGGACACATCACTGTAGCTAAACCGGCTGGTCCAATAGCATGTTTTGAACCCGCGCCCTTTTGGTCGTGAGTCCAGCACGTTAACCACTGAGCCGCCTCAGCTTCCTTTTTTCAGTAACTTACCTATTAATTGTGGTCATAGTACATTAGGTAACACGTCTGGATTTGACATCTCACCTCGTGTCCTTGTATGTAGATTTATTAACCATTAGGTTGTACACATGTGCAAACAAAATTATTTATTTCTTTACATTTTGGCAAGATTTATTATACGTGTTGAAAAGTCGAATGTCTCGTGTGGTAATATCCTTATAAACAAATTCTGATCAAGATAAGTCCTGAGACTAGAAGTATGTTTTTTTTAGTTTGTAGACATTGCCTTGTCGATAACAAAAGATGAATGCGTTACTGCAGTAGAAATAACCTCCGATCTCTATAAATTTCCAGTGGAGCAATTTTATATGTTTGCTATTAGACGCAAATGTCAGTTATATTTCACATTGTTTTTCAGTACCTGATGTTTTTGTCTTTTTATTGTGCATGCAAAGTTTTCATTAGATACATGTCACTAAATTTGTTCATTTGTAAATATCATAACTTCAAGTATAGTTTCAAAGGTAAATACAGAAATACAAATTTAAGATCATTTCTTTACTGGTGCGATTAATTGTTTGAACTGCGTGAACATATGTTTTCAGCCAATTTGATTTGAAATTAACGATTTTAAAATCGTAGGTAGTTAGCTCAGTTAATTCTACATGAAAGATTTTATCAGGCGGTTTCTTTAAGATATAAAGCTAGCTTCTGCAAAAAAAGATTCGAATACCACTGCAATTATTCGCACACTTTCATGTAAGAAGTACGAAACCTTCCCAGTTTGGTGTTTCTCGAGATATATTTCCCTACATGGCTGGTGCAATTGTAATTGGAGCTTTCAACGAACTTTCTCCTCCTCGGGACGTAGCTTATTGTCAACTTATGATTAGTATTAATGCATATTCGGCTAGAAAAGTTATTATTTGATTCTCTAGTGTACACATTTAATGATAATAAATGAATAACCCGACAGCGTGCTTCGTTTCTGGTGCTCCGAAACCCAGCTCCACATCTTGGCGCCCTAGGTGATCAACTACTTTGCCTAACGGTTAAACCGGCATTGTTTTCATATAACTCTCAACTCTAAAATTGCAACTAATGATGACTTGCACTTAAAGATTGTATGTATGTATGTATATATGTATGTATGTATGTATGTATGTATGTATGTATGTATGTATGTATGTATGTATGTATGTATGTATGTATGTATGTATGTATGTATGTATGTATGTATGTATGTATGTATGTATGTATGTATGTATGTATGTATGTATGTATGTATGTACGTACGGATGAACGCATGCATGTGTGGATATCTGCATGTATATATGTATGTATGTATGTATGTATGTATGTATGTATGTATGTATGTATGTATGTATGTATGTATGTATGTATGTATGTATGTATGTATGTATGTATGTATGTATGTATGTATGTATGTATGTATGTATGTATGTATGTATGTATGTATGTAAGTATGTATGTATTGTACGTATGTATGTATATAATCATGCATACATATAAGTGTTCAATCATTTGTTTATTTTTTTTTAAAACATTCCCTGGGTTTAACATTTTCGCATATTGTTATAAAATGTAGTCGATCAAGACACTAAATCAGAGCATTGCATACATATAAATTTTTCTCTTAAAATTTTTGAAACATGAGGCCCCAAATTTGAGATCGAAAATATGACTTGTAAGTAACAATGTAGTCCATTGATCCCAAGTCATCTAAATGTCCAAGTTAGACTTAAAAATACAAGCTCCACCCCATAAACTTTAACCTGCTTGATCATACCGTATATTTCGAATCCTGAGCGGATACAGAAGTTACCGTAGCAGTTCTTTAATTATAACAATCAATGCAAGTTACTCTACTATTAGGAAAACTAGTTTCGCAAGTTACCTTAAATATATAAATCTTTACAAACAAAAATCTAAATAATGCTAAATAATAACAAATAATAATAAATAATAATAAATCAGCTAATGTTCCTTAAATCATTCAAATAATCCAAACCAAATAATCTATAATGTTTTACCATTTCTCTAATATTATGGAAAATAATTTAATGAAGAATACAATAAGAGATTTATGTAAAATCATCATTGGTTTTAAACCCCTTATTTTTAACTTGAAATAGTTAAAACAAGAAGATAGACAATAAGAAGTTCATGCTATAAACAGTTGAGTAAGTCTTATGCAACTAGGTATGGGAGCTAACTTTCTAATTGCAAGTATATACATCCGGTGGAAAGAGGACTAGTCTATAAATGATTTATGGAGACAGGAACTTTCGGAAAGTGACTAATCCGTACATGATTTATGGATATAGCAGCATCTAAAGACAAAACCCTAGCCCACAATGCACAATAAATAAAATAGAACCATTAAGCAAGTTGTACAATAAATCTGAAGAAAAATATATAAAAAAGCAGGGACATATATAATGAAAGATAACTTGATGATGTTGTTGTTGGGATTAACGCCATTTTTCAGCACACGATAGGCTATTCATGGCGGCCAGTATTAATGGTGGAGGAAGAAACCCGGAAATCGCCGGAAAGAACAACCGACCCACGAGAAGCTACTGGCAAGCTTTCTCACATATCCACATTCGCCGAATCCTAGATTCGAACCCATACAGACAGAGGTGAGATAGCAGTGATCCGTAATGGACAGCGCTTTAGACCACTCGGCCACTCAAAGGCCCCGATAACTTGATGAATGAAAAAAAATGAAAGAAAAGCCCTCTCTCGATTATATTCCGCCAATTTCACGGCGATATGTGATGGACACAAAAAATGGAGACTATTGTGGCAAATGTGACATTATAAACAATTAATTTTATCTTAAGCCTTTTTCATTTACTGGCGGAATATTTAATATATAAAAAGAACTGATAAACTTGAAATATTTTAGCAGGAAATAAATGTGTTCATTTTTGTTTTGCCTTGATTATTATGTTGATTCACTTAATTTCACGCTTAAATGCCATCAATTTTGTATGCAACTATTTTGTTCTGCTTGTTGTAAAATTATTTTTCCTCAGTTAAACTTTTGATGGGTGGTTCACTTTGCAGCAGCACAGGCTATTATTATAGGTTGCATAGTTTTTTCAGATGCTTCTGTTTGTGAAAGATTTTTCCTTCCTCTTTTCCCTTTTGTCCAATTTTTCTAGCATCACTTTTACTTTGTATAGATTGTTTTTCATCGCTCGTTTGTTTTCTATCTTTAAACATCTTTAAAACTTAGTTTAAACATACTTTCTTTGTTAAATTATACAAAGAGTTCTAGGAACAAGATCTCACAACATTTGATAAGTCCTTCCCCCCCACATATATATATATATATATATATATATATATATATATATATATATATATATATATATATATATATATATATATATATATATATATATATAAGTTGTATAAAATTAGTCAAACATGACAAGTGGCAGAAGAAAACTGAAACAAAAATTAAAAGAGACCAAAATGACAGCAAAATAAAAAATAACAAAACAACAACAAGAAATTAGGGGTGCTGATAATTAATGTTAGTTCATCAGCAATAGCACTGGCATATATAGAAGAAACAAAACGGTCCTAGATCTGAACCCTGAGGCACTTCAGTAAAATAGTCTAAATTATACGGTTATCACCACAAGCGGTTTGGATACTATCGACAAAATAGCAAACCAGTTTATCAGCTCATAACGATTAAGTTTATGGGTAGACCTTTATGCCAGAATCGGTCGAATGCATTCAATACATCGTTAGATATTACACACGGCTTCTCCACGATCATGTACATAACAAGTTATATATATATATATATATATATATATATATATATATATATATATATATATATATATATATATATATATATATATAATTTTGTCAGAAGGTGGTGGGATGTGACAGATCCGCTATTCGATATGGCGCTTTGGTCAACTTTGTCTTGGACAGAATCGATACTGTGTTATTGATCGGGTAAACAACATAATAGAATATGAAATTAATGGATGTAATAACAGAGATCTGAGCCGAAATATATAATTGTAACAACATGAGACCCCGGTACCCCGGTATGTAAAACATAATAATTTAATCCGTTATAGAAAGAAAACAAAATGTTTGATTGTGTGCGTGTGTGATTTTGATTTTTAACGTAGCTTTAATAATTTTTCAGTCATATGGCTATTATGTCTGCAGAGTGACAGTATATAGGGCTGTCTAGCACCGGGGCATCATTCGGGAAACTTGTGGCATGATGTCCCACCCAGTCATATTACCCTGACACCAGGCCAACCAGTCGTAATTAATTCTGAGATCCAAGCAAGGCAGTTGTTAGTACCATTTTTTAAAGTCCTTGATATGATCTGGCCGGGATTCGAACCCGCGACCAAATGCATCCGAGGCGGACACTCTAACCACTACGCCAATGGAGCGACTGAAAAGAAAATTGAACATCAGATTTAAATGATTCACGTTCTCTCAGCCAAAGAGTTACAAAATATTTTGCAAAATGCAATTAGTCGTTTTGTTACACCGATAAAACATTTTTTATTTAATTGAGTGATTGATCGAATTTGAATTTTCGACATGACAGCATGACCTAATATTTCCGGTCCGTTCCAAATCGCTGTTGGTGAATGGTGATAGGTCGTTGTTAATGTAGATGTAGAATTTGATTTCCATTCCCCCCCCCTCTCTCTCTCTCTCTCTCTCTCTCTCTCTCTCTCTCTCTCTCTCTCTCTCTCTCTCTCTCTCTCTCTCTCTCTCTCTCTCTCTCTCTCTCTCTCTCTCTCTCAGATTTTCATCAGCATTGGCAGTAGATTGTGATCTTTGCCGACTGAAATACAGTTACGTTACTTTGCTAATAAGCAATTTATGGAGATACATTTCAAGACATAAAAAAACATTTCTCAGCATAATTGATACACATCATATAAGACTGATAATTTACTTCCCACTAGATAGGCAAGGTACCTTTCTGATACGTAATCTACATTTCATCCAAAACAACTAAATCCGAACTCATTCATAGAGTATATGAATCATAGAACGTTTGGGACAATATTCATGCAAACAATTCAATCTGAACTCAAGAAAACCGATGGACTTGAAATCAATAAATTCAACAAATAATAACAAATTTCTACCAATAAACACACATTGTAAGTAACTGAGGCTAAACATGTGCTTAATTCGAGACTCGCACCTTTTTGTGAAGTCTTATCTCTTTTCATGCGTGTCCCTCACACTATTACACATGCCTCTTATACAATTTTGTTTCTCCCGATGCTAAAACTGTCTCATCTTTGAAATTAGACTAATTTCGCTGGGGAAATTTCTTAAAAGCCACAGTACAGTCTAGGAACAAATATCCCCTCGTTTAGCGCAGTCAGTCAGGATTGCTTTCTTTACCTGCCAAACATTTTATCAATTCCATCCAAGTCGGAATAATTCTCTCTAGTCCACCATTATTAATAGCTATTCTGGAAAATATAATTGTATGATACCTGTTTTAAACTGACCAAGATTTTCTAAAATTTCCCCTGGTTTATCTCAACTGTTGTTCTTTTTCGCTATTGACCTTGCATTAACATTATTATTTTCCATGTCTCTGACCATTATGAAACGGATCCTAATTAAAATTCAATTCTTGCCTCCAAGCAGGAGAAGTTAAATATTACAAGCTGCCAAGTTATTGCGAGCCTAGACAATCCGTCGTTATTTATGGTTACATGTCACGCTGACCACAACAGTATGTACTGCAAAATTAATCTAAAACATTTTTAAACATTACAGTTGGCTCACGATCGAGTAATTTGGAGAAAAGTTCGATTGATATATATGTAAACAAGATCATTTTCAAGCAAGTAACTGTATGCCTGTTTGCAAATGACCGAACACATCTTTGTAAAGAAATGTATCTGTAATTGGTGTGATAAATTTTGCTATCCTTCTTCTGTACTGATAATAAAACCGCCTTTTTCCAAAGAGGGAAGGCGCTCTCATAAAGTGATATGTTGAATAAAATACACAGATGTTTTACATTTGCTGGTACTGTACCAATGAGAAGATTGTGGCTTATCTTATTACAGTCTAAAATGGTCTTGTATCGTCTTGAATTGCCTCTTCACTTCTTACAATTATCATCTCTTCACTTATTACAATTCTTGTCAATATGTTAATCGTGCGAGGTGGCCGCATTTATGTCGTTGGTGTTAGAGATAGGGGTTAAAAAACAATTTTAAACACTCTACTTGTTCTAAATCCGAAACTAAAGTAAGCAATGTGCAATCATCTTTCGTGGATATTAGTGTGATGTGATATAGAATGAGTTGGATGGGCCTTCAAAAGTCTTTCCAGCTGGTTCTGACAGTGTCCAAGTCTTCAGAAAATTTAAAATAAGTTTTCTTTGCAAATCTTTTTCGGATTGTTTACTTTATTTAAAATGATTTATATTTTGACCAGTACCTTTTATTGTTTGTTATGATCTCTTTCTTTTACAACCAATCACTATTTCTAGTATTTCTTCGCAATACATTATCAAACCAACGTTTTAAAGTCAAAAAGTTGCCTGTCATGTAGGTATGCAGGTATCCGACACATTAAAAAAGTTGAATGTAAATAGATTTGCTGCATCTCTGATATCGTGCACAGACAAAAGTTTCGTATCTAGTTTTGTATTGAAGTATATAGCATCTAAATGTCCGCATATTTATAAAGCGACACCTTCCGCCTAAACAAGAAAATAATTTGTAATGTGATTTGGTTACTGAATAACTTGTCCAGTGGTCACTCTGTGACGTATCAGTAGAAATAACCCTAGAATTATGAATTTCTTTATCATTTGATACAAGATCCAATTGCAGGATCAAGAAAGGATGCTGAATGAGTCCAAGTTTTTAAATTGTATAGTACCATAATTTACATGAGACTTTTCACATTGGATCTTAGCAAGTCCTTATTTAGGTCACCAATAATGATTTCAGAAATGTTAATGGATCGTTCTCTGCAGAGATTGAACGAATCCGATAAAGAATTTTGTTCCGATAGAGATCTAAAAAGCAACTTTTCTTTACATAAATTGTAATGCAAAGTATTTCATTATTTTGTACATGTATCTCTGTACGTGTTAAAATATAACATATTTTTAAATATATAAATTATAATTGCATCCCAACATCCGTGATTAGTTCTATCATTTATAATGGGATAGTTCTATCCGTCAATAGAGTTGTCAAGATCAGTCTCCGTTAGGACAATTATATCTGTCATCGAACGTTTCGGAGAAAAATTCAAGTTTATTTCGGATAGATTTTATGTTTAGATGAACAAAGAAAGGGCGTCGTACGTTCTTGTACGGACCTGAATGAAGATTGGCATACATTGCCAGTAACACAATTAAAAGACGCAATAAACGAAAAATGGTGCAACTTATCAATATTGTACATGGTACAGCTGACACATTTAAATTTACTTTGAAGAAAGATGGCTTGACATAGAACATTTGTCTTAAAAATGTGAAAAAGTAGACAAAATTAAATGACCAGGGGATTAAAAATGAATTTGGCAAGCAAGATGGTAATGGTTTTACTTTCTAAAAGTGACTTGCAAATATAACAATGTCATATCGTAACAATTCTGTATTGGTGAAAAAGAAAATGTCCTACATGCATTTTATGTAAAACAAAAGTGCTATCCATGCATTTGAATGACTGAAGATAATAGAGTAAAGAACTGAAAGCGCTTGTCTCCATTTTCTGGTAGTTTAAGTTTGGTTTTGTTTTCATTTTAACTTGCCTTGGTATTAAAAAAGTGCAAAATTGGTCAGCAGAAGGAATGTTACAATATAAACATGAATTGAAAGCATTGATTGTAAAATTGATAAATGAAACAATTTTTGGGCTAAGCAGGCTGTTAAGTATCTAGAATGTTGGAGTACATATCACTTACACAATGCATTAGGAATATCTAATATATAACATACAGCAAAAATACATTAACAATGTATACATTAGATTGACCCAAACCCGTCCTTTGCAATGGAGCCTTAAAGGTCAAAATATTTAATTATAAACACACATGGCTTCACAAAAGGTGATAGATCATTGGAAGTTATAGCTACTTGAGTGTATTACAAATCCATAAGAGATGTCTTCAATAATGTCTGCATTGTGTATACATTTTGCGTTTTTAGATTAAGAAGTTCTGAATTAGCCCTAAGATTTTAAAGTGATAAAATGAAAATGACAAACAATAAAATTACATATGAAAAATTTGATATGTCTACTCTCTTTATAGTTATATTCGTAATCTCATTTGTCAGGAATTGATGTCTTTTGTTACAACCTGCCATTTACGAAATAGCGGTATCTAAATTTTATCATAGGTAATATCAATGAATTTTTTCTCATGCACTAATCAGCTTCTAATTTTATGAAATATGTCCTGCGACTAATAACATAATTATTGGCGCAGCTGTACAGAAAATACATTAATTGCCATATTAAAATGAACTAAAGATATTTATTGCTTCTCTCGTTTGCTTGAGTCGTTTGCAGCTTTGTCAACATTTATATTTTAATCTGTTTTTGTTGAAGAATGTATCGTATTCCAAGACGAGATGGTGATATTGTTGCTGTGATATATCGGAAGTGAAGTATGCAGCTTTTGAATCTACATTATGAATTTTAGAACTATAATATAATTAGCCACACACACACGCACGCGCGAACGTACGCATGAGCCCTCTCACGCCCTTTAACTCCGTCTCATTCTTCGACTTCGTCTGTTTTTAAGTACAAACTGGAAGGGAATCTCTCGACGCTACCTCTCCTGCACATTAAACATTCCTTCATTGGTCGAGATTGCTTACATGAGTTACTCGACATAATATAATGATTGTTAATTAAAACAAATCCCGCACTGGTAAGTAATGTTTTTCTCTTTTTAGTTTTGCCTCCTATTCTGCTGCAAGCATTATTTAAAAAAAAATACCTAGTGCAACAAATATAATGAATCATAACTATTTAACTCGGATAGTATACTCGTATAAGCGTCTGTTTTTTGTTTTTTTCTCACTTTAACCGATTGTAACCATTGCGAAATAGCCAGAAGTCTTCCGCATACTCGTTACGACGGAAAAAGGCTAGACTCTTCTATATTACGGCGGCCGGTTGAGAAACGAATTTCTGCGCTATTGGCGTAATAATATTGTCCGAATCATATTAGTCTTACATGTACCTTTATTAAATGTGTGTGTTGTGTTCGATAGAACCAAAAAGTGTGAGCGTGGGCGCTTTGGGGGTAAGGGGTGGTTAGATCACATGAGAGTCGAGAATATTTTCTTAAATTGTAAATAAACAAACAAAAGAAAGCAAATAAATAAAAGCTACAATTATTGCCTACAACTTGTTTTTAGGTGCGAACGAAAA